ATATATATATATATATATATTATCTTCTTAATGGCTATGTGAAAACTCAATTTGTAGAAAAAGAACAGTGAATATAATCATTAAACCCACTCACACAATTACCCATACCCTAATACATCTAAAACACCATTTAGGACAGGAAAAGTAACCACTCACAATTCATCTTAGTGACTGTCTCAAATCACTGTAATTATTTGCTAGACAGAGTAAATATACATCTGGATTTAGATGATAGAAACGGTGATGTGAAGATTTTCATCCACAAACATGAAATTAATTTACCCATCACACGCATTGCCCATACCTCAAACATTATGCAGTGCCAATTTACGATTTTAATCCCCAAACATGAAATTAAAATACCAATCACACACATTGCGCATAGTAAGTGATGTACAATTTTAAACAGTTCACCCTGTATGAAATAGATTTAGATCTGGAAATATCACATTTTATTGTAAGTCATTTTACGAAAATGCTCATCAGAAGTGCTTTTTAAATGTTACATAAATCTCATACAACGAGTTTTTTTAGAGTAATAATAACCTCCAGAGACTCCCAATTCACATCTAATCTTTTTAGGAAACCTGCGCTAAATTAACGGACTTCCATATTATATTTTTGTTCGGGTAACATGTTTTTAACGACCACCTAATATATTTATATTAGTGGATGCATGTTTTTTTCCTCATTTATTACTTATATGTACTCCGTTTAATAGAAGTAACATTATTTTCCAGTCAGATTACTTGAACAATATTATAGTTGCCTTTAAGAGGTAATATATTGTATATAAATTTCAATAGTAAAACTAATTGCCCTAGGAATGCTTGAAAATCAGGGGGGTCAACAATGGTGTGTGCTGAAATAACTTCAAATACATTACATTATTGCTACATTTTGTGTACTCCCGAGAATTTGTTATCAGAACCTATTATTATGAACTTTATAACATTGCAATACATTTCGGTTGCATTTATTTTTGTATTCTAACCAAGAAAATATATTTTGAAACTTGCAGGGCAGTGATGTTTCCATCAAGTTTGTTTCTTGTATATGTAATTTTCTTTTTTTATTTCCAATTTGTAAATGTTGTAATAATTAGAAATATGCTAGATTTGGGGCTTGCCACGTTCAACGTCGCCGCCAGGTTTGTTCATCTACACACCGCTTCGGTTTTATTTGTTTATCCTCAATCACCATAATTAGTTTCCTTGTTTCATCTAGGTGAATATGCAAGACACGACTTTTGGGGATAACTTTGCTAGTTGAACTGGTCCTTCTCAGTTCCTTAATTGTCTAAGGTGAAAAATATTTCATATTCGTTCTTCGGAATTTTATCAATTCAGGACCCGAAAGATAGATTAATTATCAATTCGGGACCTGAAAGATAAAATGCATCGATATAGGACCCCGAATGATGAAAAACTATCAATTTAGGACCTGAATGATTGAAAATTATTAATCTAGGACCTAAGTTGTCATAATTTTTTTTTTTAAAACAATTTAATATTATTTCATTTTATTAAACTAATAAACTTTTGTGAAGAAAAGTTTATCAAAAATTAGTAATGGAATTAATAAAAAATTAAATAAATCAAAACCTATGAAACGTTAGGTCCTAAATTGATAGTTTTCCATCATTCGGGTCCTATACCGATATGTTTCATCTTTCAGGTCCTGAATTGATAATTAATCTATCTTTTGGGTACTGAATTGATAAAATTCCTTGATCTTTATATATTCAAATATTAAAGAATGGACTTTCATTTCAATCAGGGTGGAGCTATGATTATATATACGGCCATGGGGGCATGTAAAAGCCTGATAATGGTAAAAAAATGAATTATGTAAGTTCCAATTTAGATATGATTTAATTCAAATCTTTATGACGAAGCAATTGTCATTGATGCTTTAGGTTATGTTGAAACTCTTCACACTCATTGATCCTATGTAAATAAAATATCTACACTTGTATTTTTTACTCATCTGCCGGTCTCGGTCCTGCCTAAGCTACAACCATGCATTTTTATAACACCACTTGGTGGTAAAAAATGATTCACCAAACATGAGCTAATGATCTCATTCGTACAGAAGAAAAAAGGTAGATTTACGAGGCCATTACATAGATTCTACTGCAAATCCTGGAAAACATATACGAGTACTACGTATTATAGAAACTCTGTTGGGTAATTATTTTTAGCAAAGGGGACAATTGGACATATAGAAAGATGACAAATTCCACTTATTAGTTACCCACATTCTTTCAAGGCCTCAATAGTGTTGTGTCCTTCACTCATCTTTAGAGGGAAACACATGCAAAATGCCCCCCTCCCCCCTCCACATCATTGTTTGCAAGGTTTGAATACTAAAACTAATGACAACTTAAAAGGTTTGAGATAATGTGTCATTTCATATCAAATGCTTTTGCACGGAGATTGTTTTAATATGTTTTAGCATCCCTAAATATGGATTACATTAAGTATTAACTGTTATTAACACAATTTCAATCAATTACACACACTAACAAAGTATTGTGCATTTGCAAATCGTGCATCCCGCGACACATTACTAGTAATTTTATAATTGTAGTGTGTACACCTTGGAGTTTAAAAAAAGTGGATTGCCACACGTGCATATCATTCTATGGATTTTACAGAGGCAAGTGAATCTATTTATCTCATATATAGACATAATAATATCTGCACAGATACCTGATGAAAACTGTGATCCCGTTTACTATAATGCTGTCAAAGAATTGATGACTCATGGGCCATGTGGAGTGACGAACGTGTCTTCACCGTGTATGGATAAAGGACATTGCATGAATCATTCCCTCCCCCTCCCCCCCAAAAAAAATTCACAATCAACAACCATTCATAAAAACGGTTACCCAAAATACATGAGGAGAAACAATGGAAGGTCTGTTACAAAATATGGTCATGATATGGACAATATATATGTTATCCCACATGATCGTATTTTGCTTCTAAAGTTTAGAGCACACATTAATGCGGAGTGGTGTAATCAATCACGGTCAGTCAAGTATCTTTCAAGTATATAAATGAAGGCGATGATAGAAAACTGTTCCATTTCCGAAAGCTACTGACAATACTAAACCACAAAAGATAAATGAGATCAAGATGTACCATGACTGTCGATACATTTCAGGTTGTGAGGCCGCATGGAATTTTTTTCTCATACCATATTCATTACAAGGATGTCCCGATTGAGAGATTAAGCTTTCATCTACGAGACCATAAAAACTTTCATCTACCAGGATAGCAAAATGTATACTACAATCTTGATGCATCCATTGGGTCGGTACTAAATAACAACATTGTTCACTCTACAAAGTTGATAGCTTGGATGAGAGCAAATCAAAATTATGAGGATGCTAGGGAGTTGTCATACGTCGAGTTTCCATCTAAGTTCACATGGAACAAATTGAAAAGAGACTCACTGTGGAAAAAGGAATTGCAGTTGGGGCGTGTGTTCTTTGTGCGTTCTCGAGCAGGTGAGAAATACTACTTAAGAGCTATGTTGCATGTAGTAAACGAGACAAGAAGTTATGAAGAGCTGCGAAGCGTAGGTAGAAAGGTATACAACACTTTTAGGGATGCCGATTACGCTCACGAGTTACAAGGGGATGACTATAAGTGGTTGGACTGAGTATTGTAATTGATCGGTGTCGGATAATTGTAACTGGTCAAATCAGGTAAGTGTAACTGACGGGTCGAGTAACTGTATCTGGCGGTTCTGATAACTGTAATTGGTCAGGTCGGATAACTGTAATGAGTCAAATCTGGTAACTGTAACTGGACGAGTCGAGTAACTGTAATTGTTCAGGTAATGTAAATGTAATTGGTCGAATATGGTCACTTTGGTCACTGTACGAGTCAGCTAGGCTTATTAACGTATAGTAGTCCTCATACTCATTTTTGAAAATTAACAAAGGATCATTTTTTTGAAAGAAAAACACTTAACTTTCATTAATTAAATCATTGTAAAGTACATGAGTAATAAAAATCAGGAGGAACAGATAACCAAAGATGTCAATCAGACTCAGAACACGCAGTTTGAGCAAGCTCATGAGCTACTCTATTCGTAGATCGCCTCACATGATCAAAGGAAACATCAGAAATCCTTGAACAAATATCATGTATATCTTCCGCTACCAACCCTGTTGCAGAAATGCTCGAGCCATTTCGAATCTCTGACACCGCCCCCAAAGCGTCCGATTCCACACCAATGAATTCCAACTATTGCTCTTTTACCCAGCTGAGAGCCTCCTCAATGCTGACCAGCTCTGCCTCCCAAGGAGACAACCTTCCTTGTCACGCCTTCACAACACTAGCTAGGAACTCCCCGTGCCCGTTCCTAAGAACCCAACCCAGCCCACACATGTGAGGGCGGACTGCTGCATCCACATTGAGCTGAACTCGCCCTGCACTTGGTCTTCTCCAACATGCTCGTTCATGCCTCCCATTATCTGCCCGGGAGCCCCCTGGTGATTGAGCTTTCTCCCAACCTACAATAAAGAATTGAGTTTTCAACAAGATTTGTTTCAATTCCATACTTCCATACGTGGCCCTTTCCATATCCTGCTATTTCTTTCCCCACACAACCCCCATCAACCCCAAACTAGTTTGTGTAGCTCTTCCACCGATGAAACTCCACCTTTACCTTCTCCACAAAGTCATCCCATGTACCGCTCACCCACATCCATCCGACCCCCCCTCCACGCCGCCTTGGCCACCGAACAATCAATAAACAAATGGCTAAACGCCTCAACATCATCCCACATAGCTCACATTCTATCACACAATCAACATGTCTCAACGTCTCAAATCACTTTTTTATTCAATGCTTATTTTGAGTTATATTCTTGATCTAACACTCTAACTCTATTATAAAAGTTGTGGTTTTATTCAAAAAAAAAGCTCACAATAAAAGCACGGCTTTTATAGGAGGGTCAATTGAATTGGATTATTAACCAAACGGACCGTGAGCCCAAATCTTTCGAAGCAGCGACCCGTTCAGGCCAGAAGTTGTCCTTTGTTCCACCTATAAATAACAACCCTAACGCAATTTCGGACTCCTCTCTCAACGCTTCTGGTGTTTCGGAAGCGGTTTGGTTTCGTATCTTCATTCCAATTAGGGTTGGAAAGAGTGGGCAGGGATCGGACAACGTGAGTGTTAGTTCTACGTTCTCATTTAAGACAGAATTAATTCGTGCTGATTTTTGAACGGATCTCATAAATTTGAGTTCATTCTTGCTGATTCTTTGAACGGATCTCATAAAGTTGAGTTCATTCGGGCTGATTCTTCTTAGGTTAAGTTCTTCGTGTTAATATCATTTGCAATTTTCTTAATTTCAGATTATACTCTTCCTTTTCCTTTGCAATTAAAGGCATTGCTTTTAAAATGAGAGATTTCAGCTTTCGGACCCGAAGTTAAATAATTGGTGACCATAAATGAGTCATGATGTTCTTTTATGCGGTTCCTGTAGGTTAATTAGGTCCTCACCGGATTTTTTGCTTGTTCTTAGTAGTATTAAATTTCCATTTCGATACCTGTATATAATTCTTCCACAGAATGCCATTAGTATGACGATCTGGCCTCATAGTTATAATGTGTTTTTGTATATTTAAGAGCACATCTCCAATATGGCTGCCACTGCGATTCTCCCTTCTGCTGACACCCAACATTTGGCAGAGGACCCAAGCCTCCCAAAGCATTGGAAGGGTTTGGTTGATGGCCAGACTGGAAATCTTTATTACTGGAATACAGAGACCAACGTTACCCAGTATGAGAAGCCTGTAATTATTATGATACCACCAAGCTCTGCTGGCCCTAACAAATCTTTGAGTCCATCGGTTGAGACGACTTTCAGGGGACACGTCATAAATGTTGATTATGATGTAACTAATAGAGGTAGCAGAAGTGGGTCAATGATGTTTGCTCCTGGGACAGGAAGTTATCAGGTGCTCATGTGATTATGAATTTAGAGCTATCTTCTTGAGGAGATGTCATGAGTGAATTAACTTGGTTTGATCGAGTCCAAATATATTGGTTGATATCCAAGTAGAGACTGGTTTACTTGACAACACATTTGTTTGGATAATTCTGGTAGTAAATCATGAAATAGTAGTAGTGGAGTAGTCAAGTATGGACACATCTACTGCAGCTGCAAGTTATTATTTACTTCATTCGTATATGCTCAATAGACGAGAGAAAATTAATGCTCGATTGCGACACATGTTATACTTATTTGCATTAGAACCTCTCTTACTCAGGGTTTGAATTGTTGCTGCGCTCTGGGTGTTTTAGTGCTTCTGTTTATGACTTTCCTTAAATACTGTTATTCTCTTTTCATGAGCTAACATCTAACTCTTTGTTTTGTTCAGAGTGATAAAAGCAGACTAGATCGAAGTCTTGGGATGGTTTCATTCTCCTCAACAATCACAGAATCAGCTGATTCTTATCGTCAGCAGCATGACATAACTGTATCTGTAAGCCTGTTAAAAGACATGGCATATTTTTGTGTTTTACTATTTTTGCCTTGGTAGTTGTCAAATATGTGAAGAGTTTAGGATTAGCAGGTGGCATTATCCACCACCCACCATTAGAAGAACAAAATATTCAATGATTGGACAATACAAATATAATATCATAGGATTGCAATAAAAGTATTTTTAGTTTAGCCGATACTACTTACCAAGTAATAAACTTCTTGTATTTAGAAAATTAAAGATGAGAATTTTCACACAATGTGCTCTCTATAATTATGTACTGAAGAGGTTGTGTTATAACTGTAAACATTTCGGCACTCCCTCTCTCAATTGGGCAATCAACTTGAAAATGTCCCTCAAACATCACAGTAAACTGATTCTTATTGCTATTATCTTTTGTCGGCCTCTGGTCTATTTGGTTGATGGCATAGTTTGACAGTTGTCAGTCTTGCATGATCTTACGAAGCCCGGTTCCAATTTTTCTTCATTTGAGTGCAGAGAACAATGAACATGTGTGCATGAGAAGTCATTCCTCTGATGGCTACAGATGCCATAAATCACTCTCTCTCTTTAGAATAACTCATGTGGCATATATTATCCATCACAGGATGCCTCACATTCTCTGAAACTCGTCTATAAAGCCTTCCAATTTCAAAATAATCATCTTTTCCCCCTCATGCAACACTTTTTTTGTCTACCTTATCATGACATATTTGTTCATTCTTCCTTTTTTGCAGTCCCCTCCTTACATGAATGTGCTCTGCCTATTTTTTTTCCGTGCTCACTCTGCATTTACCGTTTTACTATGCCATTGTTGACCTGTGAAACCAATACCATGTGATCCTTCAAAAATTTCTGAAGGCTTTAATCTTCTTAGACATTTTCTAGTTTACTTGTAGACTGTAGTCAAACAGCTTTTTCTATGTTCATTGCCCCCATCAAACCATGTTATATTTGAAGCATTATTAATGATGTCGATTTAGTGAGTTGGATATGCGAGATATATTATTTTTGGTTTAAGAAATGTTTACTTGTATTCAAGCTTGTCAATGGTGTGCCATGGTGCTTGCGCCATGCGCCATGAGGCGCGGAAATGGTCTTTGTGCCATAAAATAGGCCGTGGGGCTGGGTATACACATGGCGACGCCATTGCCTCGCCATCGCCAAAATCTCGCCATCGCCATGGGCCCATGGCAATGCGTAGGCTTTTTTTACACATCAGCGGACATTTGGTCTGGGATTTTGGGGCTGTTGGGCCTGCTTAATGCTAACTTAATAAAACTCTAAATAAAACTTAATAAAAGTAATAACAGTTATATAGTACTCTTAAAACTTCAGTTTACAAACAATTTTCTTAGCCCTTAGCATTCTTAAACTGTATGTTAGCACTTATAACTACTATATAATAACAGTATATAAAAGTATGTTAAAATGAAGTTTTTACTTTATAGTTTATGTTAAAATGAAGTTTTTACTTTATAGTTTTTACTTCAGCTAACTTTATAGTTTATACAGTTATAAAGTATAAACTATCAGTTTGATTAAGAAGTTTTTACTTCTATAGTTATTACTTCAGCTAACTATATAGTTTATACAGTTATAAAGTATAAACTATCAGTTTGATTCAGAAGTTTTTACTTTATAGTTTTTACTTCAGCTAACTTTATAGTTTATACAGTTATAAAGTATAAACTATCAGTTTGATTAAGAAGTTTTTACTTCTATAGTTTTTACTTCAGCTAACTATATAGTTTATTCAGTTAAAAAGTATAAACTACAAGTTTGATTAAGAAATTTTTACTTTATAGTTTTTACTTCAGCTAACTTTATAGTTTATACAGTTATAAAGTATAAACTATCAGTTTGATTAAGAAGTTTTTACTTTATAGTTTTTACTTCAGCTAACTTTATAGTTTATACAGTTAAAAAGTAATATATCAGTTTGATTATGAAGTTATAAAGTATAAACTATACAGTTATAAAGCATAAACTATCAGTTATAAATTGAAATTGAAAGCCTTTCTGATTAAGAAGTATCAGTTTGATTTTAAATACTATTAGTTCAAAGTCTTTTACTATCAGTTTGATTATAAATTGAGAATTTGAGTTGATTAACAGTTTAAAGTCCTTTAAACTTTAAATTCATTTTTTAAATACTTGCAGAGTTGCAGTTTTTACTTCAACTTGAGATGATTAACTTGGAAGTACTTTAAACTATTTTAACTTCACATGTTTTGGTTAGAATGTTGTTATTCAACTTTTTTATCATGTTTTGGTGGTTGGGTTGATGAATTATAGTGTCTATCATTCGTTTTGAAGTTTTTTTTTGTCACGTGGCGACGCCATATTTGCGCCATCGCCATCGCCATGTGAAATGTCTTGTGCGCCATGGATTGTGCCATGCGCCATGACAACTATGCTTGTATTCTAGTATTATGTTAATGTTGCTCTATTTAAATGCTTGTATATTTTTATGGATGTTTTGGTGGAAACTCATGTTTGTTTTAGCTTATGTGTGTACATGTGTGTACATTGCAGGGAATTAATGTGCCCCTACCTTTCACTTCTTTTGAAGCTACTGGTTTTCCATCCGAGATTCTCAGGGAGGTTTGTACCTGTCAATATAATAATTTCAATTTCTTGGTTGTCCATTTACCTGGCTGGTACAATAGCTGATCTGCTGTTGTTTTGCAACATTCATTGATGGATGGTGGTCCAACTTGGAGATTAAGAACTTATTCTTAGTTTCCATTTGCACTTTTTGTTCTCAGGTGCGATGTTTGCTCCGTGGAAGAGCTAAATGTCGTACACTGTGCTGCGCTATCCTTTGGGCCATCATTGACTTGGATTGCCCTTTATTTGATGGACCAAATTTTCTGATGGGCTCTCTGATTCATCCAAGTTAGTGGCCAAGACTGTTATTGTACTTGTTCAATCTGATTTTGGGCTGAAAAGAAGAAGATGCGTCTTCTTACTCTAGCTGAAGCAATGTGTGTCTACATTGTAATGTGACGCTTCTTCTTGCTTTGGCGATTGAGTAAGTTGAAAATTCTAAAAATTTGAGGAAAATTCAATGTTAGCCCCTCAATTGTCATCCTTTTGTCACTCTTGTTCCTCCACAGACTGTAGCATAATCAGCCCCCAATTTGTCCCTTAGTGTGCGTTTTAGTCCCTTTAAAATATGCTCTGTTAATTTGTTCCAACAATGAGGGGCTAAAATTGCAAATTTCCAGCAACTGAAATCCTAGAATTTCAACTCGCCTTGTTATTGATTTGCCTTTTATCATTAAGGTGGTGCATGCTGGGTTTTCTGTCCCTACGCCAATACAAGCACAGTCATGGCCAATTGCTCAACAAGGTTCTGATGTGGTGGCCATTGCAAAAACAGGTTCTGGGAAAACATTGGGTTATTTGATTCCTGGGTTCACTCACATCATGCATCAACGCAACAATCCCAAACCTGGCCCAAAGCTCGGCCCAACAGTATTGGTGTTGTCACCAACAAGAGAGTTGGCAACTCAGATTCAAGCAGAAGTGGCAAAGTTCGGAAAGTCATCCAGAATTACTTGCACGGTATGCAATCGATGATGTTTGCTGCTTATAGTCGATTAGTGACAATTGTTTTATAGCCATCGCTAGGCCCTATTTACTGTCATCAATCTTTTTTGAAGTCTCTTTATACATGTGAATGTCAACAATCATTTTTGGGAAAAATGTAGTTCTGACATCGTATCTCTCATCAATGTGAACTGAGTTAGGGTGTAGTTGTTATAGGCAGGGTAGATAGTTGAAAATTAGGATGAATAACTTCTCTGCTCTATGATTGACCTTATGAAGTCTGCAAGGAGTAACTCCAAAACTCTTTAATCATATTAATAATGAACAGAGTTCCTAAAGAGTATTGATTTGCAAGCACTACCCATTGTGTCAAACATAGTTGACAGGGAGTTCATAACTGATTCTTTTGTGTTGTGTGCTAAATGCCAACTTGATGGTTTATATCAGCCCATATGTTCGCCAGTTTAGACCAACTTGTTCACCCTTGAGATGTACATTGAGAGCACCCCACATCCGTTCTTTATTGTCTGATTGCCCATAAAGTTGACCATAAAGTTAACTGATCTCTGTCAACAATAAGATTATTTTTAGTAAATAAAATTTACATATTTAGAAACTATAGAAGTTTCATAGTCAAAAAGTCAAATTCGATAAAAGTTGGATGTATGAAGTAAAGGATTAAGAACAATCTGTGTTGACCGTAGAATAGTGGACAAGAACCTTTAAGTGGGATGGTGGTACTTTATGATCAAGTCATTATGTTTATTGTGAAAGAACTTCAACTCTGATTCGTCTTTTGGTTTGTTGTGCCCTGAAGTGTTTATATGGAGGTGCACCTAAGGGTCCACAATTGCGAGACCTTGATAGAGGTGTAGATGTGGTGGTTGCTACTCCTGGCCGCTTGAATGACATTCTAGAGATGAGAAGAGTAAACCTCCGTCAGGTTTCTTACCTGGTGTTGGATGAAGCAGACCGAATGTTAGATATGGGATTTGAACCTCAGATAAAAAAGATTGTCAAGGAGGTGCCTACTAGTAGGCAAACACTCATGTACACTGCGACGTGGCCCAAAGTGGTGCGTAGAATTGCTGCTGATCTACTAGTCAAACCTGTTCAGATTAACATAGGGAAGGTTGATGAGCTTGCTGCAAACAAGTCCATCACCCAGGTTTGTATTCCTGTTAGTAATTTCCATCAGTATACATTGCACTTTCACCCTCTATATATTTTCATGCTTCTTTGTTAGCTTTTCAAACAAGTATGTTTGGGTGACAAACTTATTGGATACACATATTTAGTAAGCTCCTACTACCGTCATACCGCTTCTAACCTCACTTTATGTTTTATGATCGATTTAAACGTATCCCTTTGTATCCCATGCTCTGTATGATGTTTCTGAAATAGTTTATTGATCAATTTAAACATATCCTTTTATGCAATGCTCTGCATGATGTTTCTTAACTAGCTTATTGATTCATTTAAAAATATCCTTTTTAGAATTAGTTTATTGATCTATTTAAACATATCCTTTTATGTTTCAAAACTAGTTTATCGTCCCATTCCGCCAATATTATTAGTTACTAATTACCATTAAAGGCGCCTTATGAGTTGCCAGTAGATTGGTTTGCTATGATGATTTTGTCAGTCATCATTTTCATCACATCAATCGCATTTTCCATTTCAGTTTGTTGAGATACTTGCACCTATGGATAAGCACAGGAGGCTTGAGCAGATATTGAGATCCCAAGAACCAGGGGCCAGGATTATAATATTTTGCGCAACAAAGAAAATGTGCGATCAACTTGCACGCAACCTAACCCGCCAATTTGAGGTGGCTGCAATTCATGGAGACAAATCTCAGGGAGAGAGGGATTATGTGCTGAATCAGTTCCGATTGGGACGATCACCCGTGCTTGTTGCCACTGATGTTGCTGCACGTGGGTTGGATGTGAAAGATATCCAGTAAGTGTGCTTTCTGAGAGAAATTGCTTTAGTTCTATCTTTTATTTATTTATTAATTTATTAATATTGTTGTCATTTTATTTTACATATTATCATGTTACCCATGCTGTTTATTATTACTACCATCAGATTTTGCTTATAGTACTGTTCTTTGTTGCTCTCTTCTACTGCCTTTGTCAATAACCCCCCACATCCGTGCTTGTTATAGAGTGGTGGTGAACTTTGACTTCCCGATGGGAATAGAAGATTATGTTCATAGAATTGGCAGAACAGGACGAGCTGGTGCCAGTGGACAGGCATTCACTTTCTTCAGTGACAAGGATGCAAAACATGCATCAGCTCTTGTCAAAGTACTCACTGGGGCTAACCAAATTGTCCCTGCTGAAATTCATAATATGGCATCACGGGGTGGCAATGTAATGGGCAGGCAATGGGGTTCTCGCCCTAATCAACGCGGAGGTCGCTGGGGTGGTGGTGGACGAGACACTGGATTTGGCAGGTTCGTTAATTTTCCATTTTATTTCATGCAAGTTATTTTGAAGTTTTCAAAAATTGCCATAACTGGAGCTGTATATATATATATTTTCTACAACATGAGCAGAGGAGGTTATGGTGGTGCAAGGCGCAGTAGAAGCCCGCCTAGAAATTTCGTGTGATTTGTTAGAGTACAAGCCTGTTATGACGGATTCAAGCCATACCCGTGAACATCTCGATGGTTACCTTCTGCTGTACTCTGTATTTTTTGGCCACATATGAGGCTAGTGAGTTTGGTTTCGTGATGCTGGCCGATTGATATTGTGATAAGTAGTTTGTGGATTTGTTTGTTTACGATCATTAAATTTCTTAAATTTGGATTATTGTTTATGTTAGTACACGTTTTTTCTTTGGGACATATATCTTGATTTCTCTGGATCTAGGTAGGGGTGGACTCGGGCCTGGCCAACCGGTCCGGAACCGGACTGGCCCGGTGAACCGGTTGGTTGGCCGGTTCGGGCCACCCGGCCCGGCTGGTTCAGGCCCGGCCCGGGCCATTTTTTTGAATTTTTTAAGTTTTTGGGTTGGGTTGGGTATTTTGGGCCATTTAAGGTGGTTAGGGTTGGTTTGGGGGTGAGGGGGAGGGTTGGTGGTTAACTAGGAAAAGCAAAAAAAAAAAGAACCGAGGCCCGGCTGGCCCAGGCCCGAACAGGGCCTGAATTGGAACTTGTCCATCCCTAGATCTAGAGGTGGACCGGGACGAGTCGGCCTGACCTGGGACCTGACCCGGTGAGCCGGTATCGGGACTGGGCCTGAACCGGGAATAATTGGGGTGGGCTATGGGCTAAGAAAAATGTGGACCAGCTAGGCCGGGATCGATCCAGGCCATAACGGCTATAATTTTTTCCTCTTCTTTTTGGGAAAAGGGTCAAACTGTCAAATAGGTCCTTGAATTAACTTTTAACTTAAAAGTGCAAATCACCCCTTATATAGGAAGGCAGTCATCATTTTGGACGGTTCTTGTGGAATTTTTTGATTAAATTTTTTGCGCGTTTCTTATTCATGTCTAGTTTATTCATACCAAATTTTAACTTAAAATGTAACGAGGAAGACAGTCAAATGAATTTTTAAAGATAACATCGCATTTAAAGAGTGCGGTACATTTTAGAAGAGTTTTTGCCACGTTTAGTCGCCAGACTATTGTGTCAGTGACACTTTTGGTACTCGATTTTTAATTTTTCACTTTTACTCCTTTATTGTGCGAGAGACATTTTTGATATCCGTCTTTGAAAATTTCCGTATTTAGTCTTTCGACTTTTGTAGAAGTGACACTTTTGGTCCTTCAACTAGGCATGGACCGGTTCCGGATCAGGCCCGGTTCGGGTCTGGGCCTGGCCGAGGCTCGGTTCAAGAAAGGGAGGCCCGGAATCGGCTCGGGTAACCCCCGGGTCCGGGTAGGGTAGGGTCTCGGTTCTATTTTTTTTTATTGGCTTTTCCTAGTTAACCCCCAACCCTCCCTCTCACCCCCAAATCAACCCTAACCACCTCAAATGGCCCAAAATACCCAGGCCAACCCAAAAACTTAAAAAAAAAAATCAAAAAAAAAAAATGGCCCGGCTCGGGCCCGAACCGGTCGGGCCGGTTCACCTTTTGAAGGGCTCGAGCTCGAACCGCCATCCCACCGGGCCGGTCCGAGTTCACCCCTACCTTCAACTATTGTAATAGATACATTTTTAGTCTTCCACTTATTGTGTCAAAATCATGGTAGAAGGACTAAAAGTGTCAATTTGATAATACTCAAAAGACTAAATGTGGGAAACTTGAAAGTATAGGACTAAAAATGTCTCACGAACAATAGTCGAGGACTAAAAATGAGAAAATTAAAAGTTGTGTACCAAGTGTCACTGACACAATACTTGGGGATCAAAAGTGGTAAAAACTCTTTTAGAAAATCATTTAACTGTCTTTTCGATTGAATTTTTATCTGAAATTTGATATGAATAAATTAGACTTAATGAAAAAGATGTTCAAAAAAATTCACCAAAAAATTCCATCGAGAACAGCTTCAAATGGGATGACGGCCGGACAAAGTCTTCTATATAAGGGGGTGATTTACACTTTTAAGTTAGTTCGAGGCCTAATTGACCGTCTTCCCCTTCTTTTTAAATGAATTAAAGCAACTCTTGGTTGTTGCCACTTGCCAACGACTATAGAGTCGTTGGGGGTTAAAAAAATCTATAAATACATCTATATTCTAAACATTTTCTTACATCTATTCTTTAATTTTTCTTACTCTCTAATCATCTTCTTCAATTCTCTTTACATCTATTAATATTTTGGGCTTTTTCTTTGAATATTACTTAGTTGAAGTTAATTTCTAAAAAAGCGATCATAGATGTAGAGAGAATTGAAGAAGATTAGAGAGTAAGAAGAATTAGAGAATAGATGTAAGAAAATGTTTAGAGGTCACATATATGGAAAACATGATGTCACTGTTTTTATGTCATTGTTTGATTTTTCTGTCACTATTACATGTCACTATCAGATTTTTATGTCACTTTTGAATGTCATTATAATCGCCCGAAAATTTTACTACGACCTTTTTTGGCAAAACATGTCATTGTGGTTTTTTTGTATCACTATGATTTGTTACTTCAAAATTTTAATGTTAGTTGCGATGTTCATTGAAAAACATGTCATTGTGACTGTTTCACTCACTTAAATTGTTGCCGCCAACACCGCGACCGATTAGCTGACAACCACACCCAACCCCTGCACACCCGGCAATCGCCACCGTCGCCCTCATCGTGACCACACCACCCCCCTCCATAGCCTACAAGCCCACTCCAGCACAGCAGCCCCCTCCCAAGCACATCATCCCCCTCCCCAGCACATCCAGCCCCCTACCCAACCCACCATCCCCTCCCCAGCACAGCAGCCCCCTCCCCTGCACCCCCAGCCCCCCGTTTCCCCAGTCCCCTCCCTTGCACCCCCAGCCCCCTCCTTGACGCCCAGCTCTCCCATCCCCGTGCCAAGCCCATTTTCGAGGCTTCATCACCATCTTCTCCCTAGCCCCGAAACTCTCCTATCTCAACCCCCATATGCTTGAGCGTCGACATGGAAACCACGACATTAAGAGGCGACAATCTAGATGCGCTGACATGGAATCGGAGGCGACGATTTGGAGGTGGTGGCGATTCAGAGTGGCGATCTGGAGGTGGAGCAATCTGACTCGTCATCTTCGCCGCATAGCTTTGTCGTTCTTTGTGCTGGATGCTTAATTGGAGTTGGGGAGTGGGGAGTAATGGGCCTTGGGAGAGGGAGAATTTTGGGCAGCCGAACAAGGAAAGACACGAACAGTCAGATCTCCGACTCAGTTTTTTGTCTAATCCAAAATTAGTCATATTTTTGTCTAATGAAACTTTAGAAGTAATATTTAGGTCATTATTTCTATTATATACTCCGTATATCATATCTATTTAAATTAGTTATACAATTATTATATCTACTTACATACTTATTATCTACTTATAAATACAAACTCCGTATATCATATCTACTTATTATCCAATTAAATACTTATTATTTACTTATATTCACGTAAATTATATCTACTTATATATTTCCTCCATTCTCTTTTAATTGGAATAGTCAACAATTCACATTTGCCAACGCACAAGTTTGACCATTAATATCTTTCATTCCCTATTAGTAAAAAATTTAAAAATTTTATATTTTGAAAACTTAGAATGAGAAGAATTTAAAAATATTTTTTAAAATTTTTAATTTATAATACATTAATTAATAAAATATAGTTAAAGTAGTATATGTTAATAGTGCAGAAGTCAAATGTTACAATTAAAAGAGATTGAAGTTTGTATTAAGTATATATATTAAATATAAGTGCACTACTCATCTTTTTTTTTTTGAAAATCAATAACTTCATTACTTCATATCATGTCTCAAGACATGGATAATACAATCAGGTGGATTATCAATCCAGATACCGACAGACCCAAAACAGGCTTCCCTAGCAAGTATATGGGCAGCCTGATTCGGTGAATGGTGCACATATTAGACACTTATTAGCAAACTCAGTCATCATGTGTCTAATATTTAGAAAAATAATATTATTATAATGAATGCCATCCCCTTTATGAAGTCCCTGCACAATATGTTGAGCGTCTGATTCCACTATGATCCTTTGCCAACCACGCTCCTTAGCCCATCGAACTGCTTCCTCGATTGCCATTGCCTCTGTCGTTCCCGTTGAAAATCGACCCCATTTTCTTATATTTTTACTTGCTAGAAACTGGCCATGGCTATCTCGAGCAACCAACCCCAAACCTCTCGTATCTTCCTCACTTGGTACAGAAGCATCCATATTTATTTTCACTAAACCCGCATCCGGAGCCTGCCATTTACCTCTCTGCTCCTTCTGTATCCGTACCCAAAGCTTGGACTGTTGTGCCTCCTGCCACCCCTCTAACATGGCGTTGCCGCAGGTGAGAACACCCTTCCAGTTTGGTTTTAAATTCTCCCACACCTTCTCGTTCTGAGCTTTCCACAAACTCCAGGTAGCCATGATGAACCTGCCGAACTCGACCTTCGAGCTACTATTTGCCACCTTGCTTGCCCATTCGCCGAAACTAGCATCTGCTAGTTGAAAAAACTTTTGGCCCCTACTACGCCACACCGCTTTAGCCAAGGTACAATCCCGAAGAATATGTAAAGAACTCTCTTCCTCATGACCGCAAATTGCACATCTTGGCCACACTGGCACTCTCCGTTGTACTAGACGTTATTTGCACGGTAAACAATCAATACAAGCTTGCCAAAAGAATATCTTCACTTTTGGTGGTAATTCTAGCCGCCACATTTTCGCCCAACTCAACTCCGGGAGATCATTGTGTTTTAGTCTCTTATAGCAACTTCTGACGCTAAAAATACCTCTGGCCTCATCTGCCCAAATCAACTCATCTCTTTCCTGGCCTTGTCGCAACGGTATACTTACAATGAGATCCCTATCATTTTTTAAATAAATCTCCCAATGGGTCAACATCCCACCCAGACCCATCACTAAGCATGAGTGAGCTCACCTTAATATTTTCTAGCCCAGTCACCACATTCCTAGCCGGCCGACAACCTGCTACATCACAGAGCCAATTGTCTTTCCACACCCTAGTCAAATCTCCTTTCCCTATTCGATAGCACAACCCCTCTCGAACCGCCGGTATCGCAACCGTAATGCTCCTCCAAATAGAGACGGGTTACTTCCACATTTTGCCTCCAAAATATTTCCATTGGAAAAATATTTCGCCATTAACACCTTTGCTACCAGGGTATTCAGATGCTTCAAAAGTCTCCATACCTGCTTACCCAACATAGCTATATTAAAGTCTCTAAGTTTCCTGAAGCCCAAGCCTCCCTGAGTTTTCGGGATACACAAA